CAACAACTCAAACTTAAATCTACGAAAATGCTCCGTCGCTAATATAATACAATATAGTATTGTAAGAAAATAAAAATAACACTGTAATATAGATATTCTTTGCGGGGAAGATTGCGTAGTGTCGTACCTCCGCATTTCCCTACAACGCAGAGGACACCGCAGTGGTTTTAGCGGGTTAACTTGGCACCGCATAACCCGTCCCTTCGGGGAAAGGGGCGGGTATCCGAAGTTATAGTTCACTACGAATTAAAAAAATGCAGATATTCTTATAAGGAGAAAATGCACTTTGGTATACATATGTATAGATATAGCAAAATATGTAAGTACGTATTTCCTCATGGAAACTAACTTAATGTCAGGTTAAATACAGGAAGCAGGATACAAATAAGCGTTAAAAATCTTTTAAACATTGACATACAAATACTCTTCGTAGGAAGAATGGTGTGTCAGAATGGTATTATGCCACGGCCGGTCCTAGAAAGAATGACGATTCTGTTACTGGCCCAATTCAGAATTCATCAATACATATATATACTTAACTTTATTAAATAATTTTATTTGTTTAAATTTAATGTTTGTGATTGTGTTTTTATCGTGCAAAAACGTTTGTGTTAAACGCTAAATCTATCTTAAAGGACTGCTTCTACAAAGATAATTGCCGCTGTCTCTGACACAGAATATTCAATGATATTTGTTTCATAAAAATGTTGAAAATATGATAAGTATTTAAAAAATTCTGACAACTTAATATTAATGCACAAAATTTAAAAGAGAAGACGTACTTCCATAGACGGTGCCTTGACGACGGCGATACCAGGGACAGCAGCTGCAGCAGAGGCAGGATATGCAGCACACTATTATCCCGATAACTATAGCTGCTGCAATTATCACTGGGATGATGATACCGAACCTGTAAAACAATAATATATATATGTTAGAAAAATTATGTATCACCTTCTGTTACCGAAATTGCTTTTACAAATAATTTTATCATTTGGCATATTTTATATTAACACTGATGAATTATTTAAAAGAAGTGCCATTTACAATAAACATACTGAATATCATTCCTTTTGAACATAGTGTATGCTACGAGAGATTATGAAATTTTTACCCAGTCTTCGCAAACTCTACGGCATCGCAACAATAGGCCGACTCAGTAGACATATCGTAGCAGCAGTAGGAATTGTCGGATGGATCTATCAATGGTCTTGGACACGTAGTCAGCATCTTCTCCAAGAAATTCTTATTTCCAAAGGAACATTCCATTCCTAAAAAAAAAATTAAGCAAGCTCTAAAATAACAAGAAGAATATTATCGTCGCCAGTAATTGATTAATAACAGGAAGAAAAATTATTTAACGACTTTACACTGTCTGGGTGGTTTAATTTAACAATTTATTCCAACGTTTCGACTATCCGGATCGTAGTCCTAGCTCTAAAATATTCTGTTAATGCTAAAACTATGTTGAACACTAACTGTTTAAAAAAACTACTAAAATAAAAGGGAGCCGAGCTGGTGACGAAATATCATTTTCCAAACAATTCTGAGGATCTTAATTTAACGCACTCTTATCTTATCTTAACGATAATAAATAATTGTTTATTCAACACTCAATCGTGGGAACTGTAATTCAAAGCATCTCTACAACTCCCGACAGTTCGCCGACGTAATAGTTTAGAAACACGTTCGGTCACGACTTCCGGTTTATATTATCGTGTGTTATAATCTATAATACGTGAGAGAAATGAGATGCGCGTCATACGATGACGCATTTAGTTTCTAGAAAAAAAGGAGAGAGCCCGCGGAGTTTCGTCCACCGGTACTTCAAGTTATAATACTTTGTCCGAATCAATTTTTCACCTCATAGATTTCAAAATTTTTTCCGCGCTTGGCAATAAAGCTTCTTCGTCTATCAGTCGATGATACGAAACAAACGGCGAATCTAACTAAATAATCCAAATTATTTTATATATATATTATATATATTCCTGTCACTCCTAGTTGGAGCATAGGGCTTTTAGGAAATTCTGCTACCGGCTTCCTTTCCTAATCGTTTTAGTAATCAAGCGGTATCTGGCTGACGGATGATTAGCCCCAACGAGTCTTAGTCTGGAGTTGGGGCTGCCAACTATGGCCAAACGTCCCTCGGGATGTACCGACCCTGGCTATATATCCCCCCCTCCCTAAAGGGATATGTGTGGCAGGATACTCTCGTTAGTTGCCACCTCCCTCCGAGAGAGAGGTAGCGTCTGAAAAAAATCAGCGGTATCCGTGGGTGGACTTGAACTCAGATCTTTTCGTTCATTTGTTTACCAAGCAGCATTTCTCTGCGCCACGCTCGCCACAATTGTATACACAACTTTATTTTCACTTCCTTTGAAATAAATGACTTCACGTAATATCCAATGGCCTAATTTACACCGTTTTGTTCGCGCAATCTGGCCTATACCCTGATCTAAAGTAAGCTTTCAAATAAAACGTTTACACCTACAATGCTTTCAGGTCGAATATAGGTAACACAGGTAAAAATTAAGACCAAATATGAACGCCTTCAGTTAAACGTCACCTCTTTAAATTGGAGCAATGGCCACTTACGTTTACATGCGTTATATCGCGCAACCAACGTCAGGTCAGGGCGAGTGAAAAAGACCTGTAGGGAGATTCTGTAACTCACTATCCATGCTTTTCGGTATCGTTAACTAGCGACAGCCAATGGCAAACACGATCTTCCGAAAGAGACACAGCTTTTCATGGGTTGTTGCTAGATAATGATACCGAAAAGCCTCGATAGCAAGTTACAAAATCTCCGTACTGACCCAACTCGGGTTGAGTCGTTTATCAATTGTTTACACCGTAAAGACTTATCGTGAATAGATTGATATAAGATACAAGCAACGACCCGAACGTACGGTGTAAACTAGGCAAGTTACTGGCTCCCAATGCCTCTCT